TCTTGCCCCAGTCAGCTGGGGATGGAGCCAGAGCCGGAGGCAACCTGGGGATGGGGCCAGGGCGAGCGCAGCCCGAAGAAGCCCCAGGTGCCAGGGAGAGGGGCAGGATACTGCGTGGCAAGGCGGGAGGCAACCAGGAGGCACAGGTTGGGGGAGGCAGCCCAGGGCCCCCTCCGGAGCGGGGCTGAAAGCCAGAGCCCGGCTGAGCGCTGCCAGAAGCAGCTTATTTTGGGAAGGAGGCGTCTTGGCTGAGCACTTGGTGCGTGGAGCTGCTGACGCCGGGGAACAGGACGGCTCTCGGAGAGCAGGTCCCAGCCGTGCCTCGCGGGCCAACGCTGCTTGGCGTCAGCCCGCGGCCGAATCCACCCCAGCACAACCAGGACTGGATCCCTAACGCCTGAGTCACCCACTGCGAAGGGGTTTGTTTGGACACCCCAGTCACCATCCGGCGCAGTGCCCAGGGACACAGCTCACACTGAGCGCTGGGGATCCACCAGGCACGACACCCAGAGCTCCTGCCAGCTCCCACCCACGGGGCTTGGTGCAACTTCACGCCTTGAATGGGGAAAGCGAGGCACACGAGGTGCTGGGGGGGCACTTTACCCACCGCCGGACCCCCTCCCTCAGCTCCTGAGAGCAGGACAAGCCCTGCTATGCCAGGTCCAGGGGACTTCAGGCAGCCCCTGCGCCTGCAGTGGGTCTGGCCTGGAGCTGTGCTGCGGCGCATCACAGCGTTCAGCCACGACCAAAGCAAAGGCAGGAGGGGCTGGGGACTCTGCAGCAGCATCCGGACCCACTTCACCCTCCTCAGCGCCCTGCTGGCGCCCAGGGGGCCAAGGAGCCACCCCATGGGCAGCTGCCCCCCAGAGAATGGCTGCAGCTCACAGCCCCTCACCATGTCCCTCCAACTGCACATGGCTCAGGCTGAGGATGCCGTGAGTTTGGTCAGGTCTCAGCCCCTTTCCGGCACGGGGGCAGGGCTGTGAAGGGACCGGCAGCCTCATCCACCCAGGGAAGGAGCAGCCGAGCTCCTCGCCACACACCAGGCCGCCCTGCCCTTCAGAGCCGCACACTGCAGCATTGTGGCCCAGCTGGTTTTTCCAGAGATGCATCCAAAGGGCGAAATCAGATCTCCAGGGAAGGGAGCAGGCACGTTCCTGGCTGCAGAGCGGAGCCGTTGAGGCAGTGCCAGGCGCTGGGGCAGCTGCTGGGCACCGCAGCCCGGCCGGAGGAAAACCCAGCAGACAAGCTCCGGACCCTGGGCCGTGCCATGCTGCCCCCGACTTCAGGAACTGCTGCTCCCTCACAGACCTTTGTTTGCAAACCCTGCGGCAGAGACGCCCTGCCCTGGCACTTCCCACCAGCTTTGTTTTACACCATCAGATATTAAACAACCAGCCCAGAGGGCTGGGACAGGCGGAAGGACCCTGCTGGGGGACCAGGGAAGGGCTTGCGGGAGGAGGGATCTGAAAGGAAAACAGAAAAGCAACATGCGGCGAGGGAGTTCCCTCGGCACTGGGAAGGTATTTTTGGTCAGGGCTTGTCTAGACTGGAGTAACCCGCGCTGCGTAAGCACATCGACACCGCGCAGGGAGCCTGCGGACCCTGGCCAGGACAGACCGGGCTGCACTGGCCGAGGGAGGGCAAGAGGCTCTGGAGGCAGAGCTGGCCCCGGGATGGGACATCCCACCCCCCCAGCGACTGGGGTGACCCCGGGGACCCCCCAGGCCTCGGTACTCTGTAGAGCCAGGGACGTGCCCAGGTGGAGGGAGCCTACAGCAGCCGGGACTCGGGGGGTCCCTGTGCCCCACCGGCAGCTCTGCCCACCCCCGGCAAGCCGCGGGCAGGGCCCAAGTGGCCTCGAGCACCGTGGGCAGAGCTGGGATCCACCCGGACCCCAGAGCAGGGCAGGGCTGCCGCTGACACCACGGGGACGTGGCAGACACTGCCCCGCTGACCCCTGAGCCCAGCCCTGCTGCCAGGGTGCTGCCTCCTGCTGCCCCCCTGCTCCCCCGCAGGGCAGAGGCCCCCCCCGTGCCCCCCCAGCCGCCACCTGGCCCCGCTGCAGGAGGGACACGGGGCAGCCGTGCCAAGGCTCTCTCGCAGCCCTGCCTTCCCTCGGCTCCGGCTGCCAAAGCAGCCAAGGGAGCTGCAGGCACAAAGCGTCACTTTTTCCGAGAGCTTCTCCCCGCCTTCCCTTCCCCCTCGCAGAGGCCGGACGCAGCGCTGGGGAGCGCGGGAGGCTCCTGGGGTCAGGGCGAAGGCAGCGCCGGGACAGGGCCTAGCTGGGACGGGCCTTGGAGCCCTGCACTGACCTCTCGAAGGGCCAAAGAATGACCCTGGGGAAGGCAGTGGGGTGAGGGGCACCGGGCCAGCCCCATCCCCAACGGTGCTCCCTCCCATGGGACAACGCTGCTCCCACTGGCCCCTCACTGGCCCAGCCCAGCCTTCCCGGCCCAACCGGGAGAGGGGCTCAGCAGCCCTGAGAGACCCCCCCCAATAAACCTCCCCACTAGTGAGTGGCTTCAGACCCGTTTCCCATGGAGAAGGGAACCCTAAACACTTGAGCTCACCCAATCGAAGGCAAGGAGCATCCATGGATTAAGAGAACAGGCCTGACACAGACATTCTTTAAGGATGATCTAATTTAAAAAACACATTTTTATAAAAACACATCATAATGATAATGCATGTAGTTTAAAGAGAGGCCCACAGCGCTCCAGTGGCGGAGGCAGCCGCGCTGGCGATGGGACCGCTCCGTGGCCCGTTCCCCACCTTCCCAGGGCATTCGGAGTCCTGTGTCCAGCTCCACATCCCCATTTATTTCCCTTTACCACAGAAAGCTTCTCCCCTTCCCCCTACC